TGGTTCTTCATGACAAGCATGTACTACTGCAAATAATTTAAATTTAAGTTTTAAATATTTGATAAATTAAATATTATTCAACTTATTTATAAATAATAACTAACATTAATCCACATACTGCCAATTAGTTTAATTTAGTTATTATTAAATACATGATAACAAACCATATTTTAAAAACAAAACTATCAAAAGTTTTTTATTTTCTCATTCGTAAAACAGTTTTCAAAAATTATATTATCAAACCATTTTTTTTTATAATTCCTTTTTGTAAAAAACAATTTTTAAAACTGATTTGTAATACAATTTTAAAAATTAAAAACTAAGTGTTTCAAACACGCCAACTATGCCAATAAAATTAAGTCTCAATTGTTCTCAGCTAAATGGATTTTAAATGAAGATTATTAAATATTTTAGGTTTTGGTGAAGTAGAGACATATTGATACAAGAGAATGAAATGATTATATTAATTAATTTTTTAATCAAACAAATCGTGGACACGATTTTCTGTTTATATATAAGGTTTTCAATTTGTTTATTTTTATGTCTATTTAATATCCGTTTAATATTCCACCAAACCAACATTTTATCTTACTTTCTCTTTTATTGGTGTAACACATTTAAATAAAAGACAAAAATGCAGTGTTATTTATTTTTTTAAAGAGATTAGTGTAAAATAGTATTTAAAAATTAAAAGTGTATTTGGTAGATTGATAATGTAAAAATATTTTATATTGTAATTATGTATTTTCTCTTTTTTAAATTATCCTCTCAAAAATATTTAAAGGGCTGGAAAGGATACTGCTTAGGGCCACCAAAAAATACTCCTTAGGGCTCCTTTTTTAGAAAAATATTTATATTGTTCTAATTAGTTGGTATTTTAAAATCTAAATAATTTTCTATACCAATTGTATATTAGTATTTATTAAAAACTTATGGTAATAACAATCATTTAAGATATATATTTTATAATTGATTAATTTATAATTTAAGATTTTGTGTAAGTTAATTAAAATTTAATTTTAAAAAATAAATAAGAACCTATTTGTTATTGTTTAAATATAATAAATATTTTTAGGTCCTTTTTAGGTGTGACTAAACTTTAAATTTTTTTGATCTATATCCGATAATCTATTTTATACACTGTTAGAGACGGTTCTATTAAAAGACATACTTATCAATAATAAATTTTTAAGTTTTCTTTTATAAAAGAATATTTGAAATTTAATTTTTTTTTATAAAAACTTTGGTAATTTTTTAATTATGATTTTTTAAAAATGATTAGTAGAGTGTTTAAATTTTTTATTTTATTTTCAATTGAAAATAAAATTGATTGAAATAATTTAACAGTTTTACATTTTAAAAATTTAAAATTTAAATTCATTAATCTAAAATAAAAAATATTTTTTTATATTAAAATATTTAATTTAATTTTTGCCTCAAACCTCAAGATACGTTAGACCGATCTTAAATGTAATACTCAAATCATATCACTCTTGCAAGCCTCGTATTTGAGAGACTATAAATTAGAATAACTTTGACATGTCCAAAGAACCAGTTCCTTCAACTCTATTACCCTCAAATAATGTAGAGGTTACTTTGGTGTTCCTTCAACTCTCTTACCTAACCTTTGGTGCTAAACAGTAGGAGTTGGGTGGTAAACACATAATTTAGTCCACACTAGTACTGAATGGTTATTTGGAGATCAAGTTGTTGAAGGTGTAGCTCAACCAGATTTGATTTTTGATGGTGATGATTTATCTTGATTAGATGTTGATATTACAAGTGGTGTTACTGAACCTATAAGATACACTAGGAGGAAAGCTACATAGTAGAAATAGGTTCCACATTTTTCATCTAAATCTAGGCCAAGAAGAAAGGAAGTAGTAATAGTAGGAGATTTTGATGTTGATCAAATGATCAAGAATATATTGAGGAGAATGAAGAGAAAATAGAGGGTGAAGATGATCAAGAGGAAGACAAATTTAGTGGTGGAGAAAATGATGATAAAGATTTTATTTTTCATGATACTTGAACTTTTACTAGAGACTTTAATTAAGTGTTTTTTATTGACATTTGAAATTATGTTTTGTTTAATACTTATACTTTTTATTTCTAATTATGAATAATCATGAATGTTAAATAATTTATTTTGGTTTTTAACTATTATGTACTTACTAATATTAAAAATATTAGCGTTTGTGTCACTAAAATAATGCTTATTTCGTTTCGTATTCCCGATTCATTACAAAAATTGGATGGCCGTGTTTCACCGTTTATCTAAGTTTAAAAATAAAGGTAATATCATAGTAAAGTAATTTAGATGATTTATATAGGTGTATTCACCACCTAAATCACAAAAAAATCACTTCATAGCAACATTATGTCGAGTCTTAATCATATCTCAAAACATACGATAAATGTTTAAAAAATTCTAAATGATTTTTCATAAGATGAACCCAACAATAAAGATTATACTCATTAATAAACGAAACATATAAGGGAGTGGATAATTTTTCTTCATCTGAAATCAGATTGGAGTGAGACTTGAGTTTTGTCATCATACCCGATCAGTATGTACTTCTGAATTTTGTCTTCAAGCTTCGTTCTTCGTTGATTTGGCACATGTGCATAAGCAATACTGCCAAATACTTTAAAGTGAGATACAGTCGGCTTCTGTCCACTCCACGCTTCTTGTGGTATTTGATCTCCCAACTTCGAATGTGGACATCTGTTTTGAACATAGATTGAGCATTGCACAGCTTCTGCCCAAAATTCCTTTGACATGTTCTTGCTCTTAAGCATTGAACGAACCATGTCAAGGACTGTTCGATTCTTTCTCTCCGCAACACCATTTTGTTGAGGTGAGTATGCTGCAGTTAGAAATCTCCTTATCCCCTGCCCCTCACAGTACTTCATGAAGGCTGTCGAAGTATACTCTCCTCCTCTGTCAGAACGAAGAGCTTTGATGTGTCGATCAGTTGACTTCTCCACCATTGCTTTAAACTTCTTGAATGCTTCGAATGCTTCAGATTTCTCTTTCAGGAAGTAAACCCAAGTCTTTCTCGAGAAATCATCAATGAAATAAATGAAATACTTCTTACCACTGAAGGATTCTAGAGTGATTGGTCCATAAATATCAGTGTGAATTAATTCGAGGATGTGCTTAGCCTGATATCCTGCCTTTTGAAATGAAGTTCTCGTCTGCTTGCCAAATACATAATCTTCACAAAATTTTCCTTCAAACTCCATGTTGGCAATCCATGCACCATATTCCTTCCTGCTAATCTCTTTAACCCAGCATGATGTAAGTGACCAAAACGTAGATGCCATAGGGTCAATTGGTCTTCGACATCCACTTTCATACATTCTTCTTGAATACTTCTCAGGTTCAGCTTGTACATTCGATTTCCTCCCATTTCGACTTGAGCAATCAGGTGCCCTGATTTATCCTTCAGATGCAGTATTTAATCCTTCATGAATATTGAATAACCTTTCTCCGTGAGTTGTCCCAAACTCAAAATATTCTCTTTTAGGTTTGGTACATAATAAACGTCTTGAATTTTCCCAAGCACGTTATCCTTCTGCAAGTAACAAATTGTTCCTTTGCCTTTGACCTTCACCTTTGACGCATCTCCAAAAGATACATGACCATCTTCAATCTTCCTTATTTCTTTGAATAAGTGTTTGTGACCGCACATATGATTGATTGCCCCTGAGTCAAGATACCATATAGTGTCATTCTCTGTGCTTGCCTCCTTCTGGGTCATCAACAAGAATCCTTCGTTTGATTCTGATTCTAGGATGAAATTTGTTGTCTCTTCGATTCTCCTCCTGAATCGACACTCTTTTGTAAGATGTCCCATTTTACCACAGTTATAGCAACTGTATGAGTTGCAATCCTTCGCATAATGTCCCTGTTTGTTGCATTTATAGCATTGATGCTGGAATAGTTTGACCTGCCACCTCTCTGACCACGTCCTCGACCACGCCAATTTTGTTGACTTGCTTGTCCTCTCTCGAAGTTGTTGTTCTGGTATCTTCGACCACCATCTCTACCTCCGCGGCCACGTCCTCTCCCACGCTAGTTTTGAGAGAAGAGTTCCCTCTCATCTCTAGTGGATTCCTTAGTTTGTTCTGCATTGTCAAGTGTCTCCTCCTTCCTCTGTATTTTGCATTGTTCATGTGCCTCGAGTGAACCAGCGACTTCTTCGACTGTGATTGTCGCAAGATCCTTCGACTCTTCTATTGCGCATACTATATTTTCGAATTTATCTGTCAAAGATCTTAAAATCTTTTCGACGACACGGGCATCAGTCATTGCTTCTCCATTTCGTTTCAGTTGGTTTACCATTGCTTGTACACGTGTGACGTAGTCCGACACGGACTCCGTCTCCTTCATCTTCATTCTTTCTAATTCTCCTCGAAGGGTTTGTAAGCGAACTTGCTTTACTCTATTCGCTCCTTTGAACGCCGTTTCTAATGTATCCCATGCCTGTTTCGAGGTAGTTGAACCAGCAATCTTCTCAAAACTGGATTCGTCTACTGCTCTAAACAACATATATAATGATGTTTTGTCTTTCGACCGTGTCTCTTTCAACGCCTTGTTCTGGGCTGCTGTGTTTCCTGTCGTGGTTTCTGGTTCTTCAAACCCATCTTCTACAACCTCTCATACATCTAACGATCTAAGCAGCGCCTTCATCTGAATACTCCAATTCTCATAATTGGACTTTGATAGTTGCGGCAGTGGCATTTGACTCATCATGTTTGCCATGCGCTCTGATACCAATTTGAAAAAACACCTTTCGAAACCATTTCCAAACTTTTTCTTTACCGTTATTTTAGTTTTATTATATTAATTTTTATTTTTGTTTGTTACAGAAGCCCACTAGGTTTTAAATATATAAACTAGTTTTTTATTTATCTAATCATTGACAATTAGGATACAAACAAAATTTAGGGTTAAGAATTTTGAACTTTGTGTCAAAGCCTTCTCACTCAATATGCAACGAGCAAGTGATCTTCTTCTGGGCGTCTCAATGTTCGCCGAACCAATCAGTGTTCAAATCATCGATCGTGCGAGTTTAGCTATGAATGAATTGTGCAATGTCGGAATTATAGGTAAACCTTTATGGCATCAGCATAATTCAAATCAATACGAAATTCTTAACGGTATTGAATATTTGAAATATGTTGGTCATGATGCGATGTTAATGGATATTGTTAAATTGGTTGAGGTCGGAGAAATTCAAACTTTACCTAGCTTTGATTCGTATGGAAATCAAATCAATTCAATTTCAAATGAAAATTCCATACAAGGGTTACATATCGAAGCTTCGCGAGATACGACAATGATTAACGCCGGTCCGAATGACATTGTTGAATTACTTATGAATGTGGTAGGTTTTGTTCTCCTTCAATCATATTCATTTATTTGTTTTTGGTTTTATTATAGTGCAATCAATAATTAACATAGTAACTCTCTTTGAAATATTTTTATTTTGCTATTAATTAGAATCAATGGGGAATGACATTTCACAACATTGTTTCAAGAGCAACGATTCTTGGAAGCTTTATGAATGGAGTCGAAGGAAGTTATGATGGGAGATTGCATGTGGTAAATTTGTTATTATTATGCTATTTTCTTGCCAGCAACTCTTTTATTGAAGAAATTGAGAATTCATTTGTTGTTGTAGATATAGGAAATTAAATATCATCAAAGATTTAATGATAATAGTTTGATTCTATGAATTAATGCATTGCAATCAATGAGATTTTCTTCCAACAATATTAGGATATATATATATATTATAGCATATTATCATTAGAGAAATTAGAGAAATGCTAAATATTCTATGATATTAATTAGGATTATAACTTTATAACAACATAATATCTTTAAGAGATGTACTTTCTCCAACAATTATGGCTAGTAGGATTTCAAAATTAGTGTCATGTATCAAATAATATAACTTCTGATTATTTTTGAAGTATTTTTCATCTTAATTGCATTATATTTGTTTGTTTATTGTAGATGAATGCAGAATTTCATTTGCCTAGTCCAGTGGTACCAACTCGAGAGTGTTGTTTTGTAAGATACTGCAAACAATTATCTCCTAATGATTGGGTTGTTGTGGATGTATCTTTGGAAGACCTTTTCCCTTATCCATCTACCAATTTTCGAAAAAGACCTTCAGGTTGTATGATTAAAGAAATGCCTAATGGATACTCTAAGGTTTTATCCTTATACTCATTTCAATTTCAATTATAAGCAAAATAACTTATCTTTTAAATTTGATGATTTAGATAATTTAATCTCAGTCTAACGACCACTTATATGTTGACAAGTTAACCATAAGAAGCATGTTTGTAATTAATATCATAACGCTTTCTATTAATACTTAACAATTTGTTTGATGTCTTATTTAATTTAGGTTACATGGGTGGAGCATGTGGAAGCAGACCATAGCCAATTGAATGATCTTTTCAAGCCATTAGTAACCTCTGGCTTGACTTTTGGTGCAACGCGATGGCTAGCTTCCATTGTTCGACACTTTGAGTGGGCTGAAACAATTATTACTACACAATTTTCAACGGACCAATCATGTTTTAAAAATACTAATATTATATTATAATGATATATATTTTAATTGATTATATATATATATATATATATATATATATATATATATATATATATATATATATATATATATATATATATATATATATATATATATATATACCCTGATAGTGCATTACGAAACACTAGAATTGAACCTTTGTTATATATTGTTTGTTTATAAAGTATATTATTTCTAAGAAAAAGAAAATCAGTCGGTGTGTCGGAGAAAACCGAGAAAAACAATTAAAAACCTTGAAAAACCTTGAAAACCCTAGAAGCCATTTTGTATATAACTGGCTAGAAATTCCATTTCAATCCCCCAACCCCTTCCTCGGCTTGTTCACAATTCACAATGGTGCATTGTACAGTTCAGCCTCTCACTCTTTCTAAACTTCCCGATTCCTTCGCATTTCGCCATAAACCCTCTTTTACTCCCAATCGTATACTCTCATCTCGTAAGTTCTCCAATTTTTTTCAATTAATATTCACTCTTAACCAGAAACTAGGGTTTTGTTTTTTTATTCTCCATTTCACTGTCGTTTTATATATTAATATTGTTTAAATGCACGTCGTTTTGCTCGTGGGTAACTCAATTTGATACCTACTCTTGTGTTAATTATGTTTTGTGTTGTAGCAAATGGGTTGTTGTGTTTATTGTCAGAATTTCCTTTTCTTTAATTGCTTCTTACTGAAGAGAAAGTGCTGAGTTTTAATTTGTGTTATGTATTATTTCAGGCTCAATTTTCCTTAGAAATTTAAGGGCAACAGCGTCTGAGGAAACATCAAGTGGTGCAGGTACATTTTTCAACGAGAAACGTGATGGTGTGATAACTTTAGAGGCTGATAAAAATGGCTACAATGGAACTGTGGAGAATGAAGAACCAAAGGAAGAGTTGCCTTCGGATGGAGAAAGCCTGCCGTTGGAGTTGCCGACGGCGAGCCCGTGAAACAGACCAATCATGTTCAGGTATGTCATATCATACTCATATCTCCGTATCAGTATCAATGTCGTGTTGTAATATGTATCCGAGCTTCTTAGAATTTTGTTGAAGAAACTTCTGGACCACATTTCAACAGGTTAGCAAAGAATTGGCTGTGAGAATGCATTCTGAGATGGTCACTCTTCAAACCATGGATAGCATATTCTATGAGCTGCAGAGGCAAGGAAGAATTTCCTTCTACCTCACTACATCACGAGAAGAAGCTGTTAACATTGCATCAGCAGCTGCGCTTTCTTCTGATGATGTTATCTTGCCTCAGATTTGCTTCTTCCCCAAGGCATTGAAATTCCCTTGTGATTCTTTTCAAATTCAATTCCGTTTTTTATTTCGCTATATCACATTTTCTGCTAGTACCGAGAGCCTGGAGTTCTGTTATGGCGTGGTTTCACTCTGCAACAATTCGCTCATCAATGCTTCGGAAACACAAATGATTTTGGTAAAGGATGACAAATGCCGATACACTACGGCTCTAACAAACACAATTACTTCACAGTCTCGTCGCCTATTGCGTAAGACATATATACCGTACTGTAATAAACATGTTAAAATAATTGCAACTGTTAATTTCAGACATTTATTCTGAATAAGTTCATGTTGTTTGGCAAGAAATTCAGGACACAACTTCCTCAAGCTGTAGGCGCTGCTTATTCGCTTAAAATGGACGGAAAAAGTGCTTGCGCAGTCACTTTTTGCGGGGATGGAAGTACTAGTGAGGTTAGTAATGATGAATACGAGCCAAGAAATTATAGAATATCACATCACTATGCTTCTAGCTGATATTTGAAATATTGTAGGGAGATTGCTGCTATGAACTTTGCAGCAGTAATGGAGGCACCAGTTGTTTTCATATGTTGTAACAACGGATGGGCCATCAGTACCCCTGTCGAAGAACAATTTCGAAGTACTCTATACAAATTCTTCCTACTTAAGTTGTTTTTTTCAAACAAGCTCTATATCATTCTCAAGTCTATGTGATTAATTTTGGTGTTTGGTTAGGTGATGGTATTGTGGTGAAAGGTCAAGCTTATGGCATATGGAGTATCAGAGTAGATGGAAACGATGCTCTTGCTGTTTATAGCGCAGTTCATACTGCGCGCGAAATAGCTATAAAAGATGCTCTTGCTGTTTATAGCGCAGTTCATACTGCGCGCGAAATAGCTATAAAAGAACAAAGATCGGTTTTAATTGAGGTATATATGATTGATCTTTGAATTTCATTTCACGCCAAGATGAGATTATCATTATTAATCTAATGCTGAATGAATGGTGTTCAGGCTCTTACTTATAGAGTAGGGCACCACTCTACATCTGACGATTCAACTAAGTACCGATCAACCGGTGAAATTGAATACTGGAAGATGGAAAGAAATCCCGTGAATCGATTCAAAAGATGGGTTGAAAGGAGTGGTTGGTGGAGTGAAAAGGATGAATTGGAGCTTAGAAGCAGTGTTAGGAAGCAAGTGAGTTCTATTTGTTTAGTTATTGAAATTTTAGTTAGTGACTTTATAGTCCATATATATTTTTTGGTATTCTGCAGTAACATGTTGAGTTTTGATATTACAGTTAATGCATGCAATTCAAGTGGCAGAGAAAGCACAAAAACCTCCACTTGAGGACATGTTTACTGATGTCTATGACAAACTTTCATCAAACCTTGAGGAGCAAGAAAGAGTACTTAGAAAAACCATTGAGAAGCATCCCAAAGATTACCCATCTGATGTTCCTTTGTAGATATATTTATTGGCAACTCAAATAACCATCTGTACTGTGAATTTGAATGTCAGAATGTAAAATAAAGTTGGGTGTTGCATTGCATATTCTGCTATGGAGGTAGACTCTAGTGTGGCTGCTCAAATAAGCACAGAATCAAAGTCCACTATAACACAGTTTACTGAGCCTGCAGCTCCAGCAACTATCTCTGCTTCAGTGGAGAATTATGCATCATGCATTATCTCTGCTTCAGTGGAGAATTATGAATTATGCAGAATCAATTGAGTGTTGTGAATTATGCATGGTTAAGATTGGAGCTATTTAAACCTATGTCTAAACAGTCATTCTTACTGCTCAAGTTTATTGTGTATAAATCCTACTTACTGCTCTTAAATATTGTTGAGTTTCTTATGCGGGTGTCTTTGATAGAATAAGTGCTTGTTTGGTTCTGCGTCCGTTTACTGTGATTTATTAAATTTGACAATGTTTGGATACCATTTGCAAAATTGATTTGGATCATAGAGTCGGCTCATTTGCAAAATTGATTTTGGATCTTAGAATCAGTTCTACGTGACCCTTTTGTTGTTGCCCACCGTTTTCTACTTCCTTGGTTGCAATTTTTTTTGGACTTCTCTCATTCCAAGGTGTAAAGAACAAAGATTGCTAAAGCAATGCATCAAAGGGGAGCTAATACTCGATCCTATCCCATATCATGATCAAATATATTTTTTTATATTGGTCATAGTAGGTTCGTGGAGAGATATTAAATTTCATTAAGCATGGGTATGTCACATATTTTAACTAAATAAATAAAAAAAGAGAACAAGAAATTCAACATCAGCATTCCACAAAATAATTGTTCAGATGTTCCTCTTCCCACACTTACAACATCAATTAAATGTATCAATTATCAACTTATATAGACCAGTTTATCAGTCACGACAAGATCACTATTACAACAGCGTTTACTCCAATTCATATGGTGGTACCAAATCATAGAAAAACAGGACTCACAAAGGCCAAAGTCATGTTTAGCCACATGCATGTAAATCGACACACGGCTACACACTGATATTTACAGTGCTGCCTGTGAGTGCTGTTGGTAACCACTCAGCAAATTTATTTTCATAAATTATGGCAGCATCCTTGAAAGAAAGCACAAAATCTTTTATTCTAAAGAATCATACCGTAGAAGGATTCAAGGCATATACAGCAAGAATCATCACAAGAATCCTGAATTCCTCCTTCCCCTTAAGCAGCACAGCAGAAGTCAAATGCGTCTCAGACTTTGTTTCATTCTCTTCCAATTAACCAATCAAACTCCACTGACCTCGGAAAATCAAACAACTCTAAATTTCAGAAAAATCAAAATTGAATAACAACAAATCACAATTCATCAGAAGAAAACACACAAAATAATCTGATATAAAATTAATGCGGAAGTTTAGTCGATGTTACCTCGTCCATGGAGAATATCGGAAAATTGAGATGCGAATAGAGAAAACCCTAGCGCAGCGAAAAGGTTTTTCTTCTTTTCTTTTTCTTTACCGTTATTTTAGTTTTATTATATTAATTTTTATTTTTGTTTGATTACAGAAGCCCACTAGGTTTTAAATATATAAACTAGTTTTTTATTTATCTAATCATTCACAATTAGGATACAAACAAAATTTAGGGTTAAGAATTTTGAACTTTGTGTCAAAGCCTCCTCACTCAATATGCAACGAGCAAGTGATCTTCTTCTGGGCGTCTCAATGTTTGCCGAACCAATCAATTTTAAAATCATCGATCGTGCGAGTTTAGCTATGAATGAATTGTGCAATGTCGGAATTATAGGTAAACCTTTATGGCATCAACATAATTCAAATCAATACGAAATTCTTAACGGTATTGAATATTTGAAATATGTTGGTCATGATGCGATGTTAATGGATATTGTTAAATTGGTTGAGGTCGGAGAAATTCAAACTTTACCTAGCTTTGATTCGTATGGAAATCAAATCAATTCAATTTCAAATGAAAATTCCATACAAGGGTTACATATCGAAGCTTCGCGAGATACGGCAATGATTAACGCCGGTCCGAATGACATTGTTGAATTACTTATGAATGTGGTAGGTTTTGTTCTCCTTCAATCATATTCATTTATTTGTTTTGGTTTTATTATAGTGCAATCAATAATTGACATTAGTAACTCTCTTTGAAATATTTTTATTTTGCTATTAATTAGAATCAATGGGGAATGACATTTCACAACATTGTTTCAAGAGCAACGATTCTTGGAAGCTTTATGAATGGAGTCGAAGGAAGTTATGATGGGAGATTGCATGTGGTAAATTTGTTATTATTATGCTATTTTCTTGCCAGCAACTCTTTTATTGAAGAAATTGAGAATTCATTTGTTGTTGTAGATATAGGAAATTAAATATCATCAAAGATTTAATGATAATGGTTTGATTCTATGAATTAATGCATTGCAATCAATGAGATTTTCTTCCAACAATATATATATATATATATATATATATATATATATATATATATATATATATATATATATATATATATATATATATATATATATATATATATATATATATATATATATATATATATATATATATATATATATATATATATATATATATATATATATATATACATATATATATATATATATATATATATATATATATATATATATATATATATATATATATATATATATATATATATATATATATATATATTATAGCATATTATCATTAGAGAAATGCTAAATATTCTATGATATTAATTAGGATTATACCTTTATAACAACATAATATCTTTAAGAGATGTACTTTCTCCTCTCCAACAATTATGGTTAGTAGGATTTCAAAATTAGTGTCATGTATCAAATAATATAACTTCTGATTATTTTTGAAGTATTTTTCATCTTAATTGCATTATATTTGTTTGTTTATTATAGATGAATGCAGAATTTCATTTGCCTAGTCCGGTGGTACCGACTCGAGAGTGTTGTTTTGTAAGATACTGCAAACAATTATCTCCTAATGATTGGGTTGTTGTGGATGTATCTTTGGAAGACCTTTTCCCTTATCCATCTACCAATTTTCGAAAAAGACCCTCAGGTTGTATGATTAAAGAAATGCCTAACGGATACTCTAAGGTTCTATCCTTATACTCATTTCAATTTCAATGATAAGCAAAATAACTTATCTTTTAAATTTGATGATTTAGATAATTTAATCTCAGTCTAACGACCACTTATATGTTAACAAGTTAACCATAAGAAACATGTTTGTAATTAATATCATAACGCTTTCTATTAATACTTAACAATTTGTTTGGTGTCTTATTTAATTTAGGTTACATGGGTGGAGCATGTGGAAGCAGACCATAGCCAATTGAATGATCTTTTCAAGCCATTAGTAACCTCTGGCTTGGCTTTTGGTGCAACACGATGGCTAGCTTCCATTGTTCGACACTTTGAGTGGGCTGAAACACTTATGACTACACAATTTTTTTCTGATAGGAAAGGTATGTTTTTCTTTGTTCTGAACTATAAAAATATTTTTTCTTTCATAAATACCTTACATTCTATAAAGACAATTTTATTATAGGTAAATAATTATATGCTCAATTTGGTCTTTTAAATTGGGTATATTTAAGAATGGTTAAAGAAGTTGATTGGGTTAGTCCATCCATGAGTCACTTGCACAGAAGAACTTTATTTGTTTCTTTCTTTTTTGACAAAAACAGTTTTTATACCTCAAACTGGAAGAACAAGTTTCTTGAAACTGGCGGATAGAATGATGAGAAAATTTTGTGGGAATCTCAGTGCTACAACAACCAATCCATGGATGCGACTTGCTCCCTTTCCCAGTTCAACGGATGTTAGAGTTATGATTCAGAATAATATGCCTAATACTTTAAATAACCCTGTTGGAACAACGATAGTTTTTTGTACTACTATTTGGCTTAATATCTCCCCAAATCGATTATTCAACTTCCTTCGTCATGAGAAGTCCAGAAACAAGGTACGTCCCAAAACTAAGCAAATCAATCAATATAGTAATGTTAATACAATTTTAATTATTATCATTTATTTGTAGTGGGATATACTTTCACAGACACTTTCAATTGAACAATTCGCATGCATGACTATCGGCAAACATCTAGAGAATCGTGTTTCTTTGCTGCGAGCAAGTGTAAGCATAATTTCTTCTATTTATCACTCAAATTAAAAAGTGAAACTCTTGCCATTAAAATTTAACTTTCTTTCACTTGTTAATGGTAGGATTCTAAGGACAAGACTGAAATCTTTTACCTACAAAAGAGTTACGCAGACGCGACAACTTCCTACGTGATTTATACCCCATTAGACGAATCGGCATTGATTCATCTTGCAAAAGGATCGAACCCAGACAATGTTATAGCATTTCCTTCTGGATTTGCTATTATTCCGGGAGGGTTACCGAAAGATAATGGCAATAATGTTGGTAGCAATGAAAGTCTTCTAACTATCTCATTTCATCTTTTTGATAAAGCCACCAATGTTACAGGTATCCCTCCTGAATCGGTTCAAACTATCTATGAGATCATCACAGTTACTGCTATAAAGGATGCATTATCGTGTCATAGTCGACTCAACAATTGGGCGCAAGATGAGTTGAAAAATGGCACGGTAAAGAAATAGTGCAATAGTGCAATGCAGATACTTTATATACATTCTGTCTCAGTATTTTCTCCTCCTTTACCATAATCATAAATATGTTGTTTTGTTGAGATGCAATTTCTTGTAAGAAAGTGGTAGATTTTACAGATTTTATGATTATTATGATTTATGTATTTTTCTTGAAACCTATAACACAGATGATACTTTTTTGTTATTAAAAATGAAAAAAAGCTGCATGAATTCTTGAACAAAACATTTTAATGTGCATAATCTGTATCAACTATTTCTGATTCAAATTCCAATGGAAAAGTAGAAACAGGTAATACATGCTTTCATTTTC